AGTGTCAGCACTGCCAGAGAAGGTGCTTGCTGTGGGGATTGCTCCCCCACTGAGCAGGACAAGAACAGGTAATTCTGCAGAAAGCTGTGGGTCTCCCAATCCTCTGCACTGGAGAAAGAGACTTCATGGAGTACAGGAGCAATGCAGGTTGGCTTTGGAGAGGTAGGGACATGGGATGGGTGATGAGTTTGTCCATCGTTTAAAGGATGGTCGTGGGAAGGTTGGCTCAAGGTGCAGGGTTCTTGGTCTTTTCCCAGCAAAGGCAGCTGCATGGAAAAATTTGTCCTGGGCAGAGCTCAGTGCAAGCAGAGCCAAGCAAAAACTGACACAGGGGTGAAAACCCAGAGTTTGGGTTTGGTTTAGAAAATAAAATAAAAGTGAGAAAGTAAAGAAATTAGTGTTCCTCTACCTTGTGGCTGCAGTCTTCCCATGCTTGGACATGATTTCTACGGCTATGGATTAGAAATGCATCATCTCTTTAGATGGGTCTGGAATCACGTGTCACCAGGAGCATGGAGATTTGAGGAAGAGCTGTTGAATGTCATGAACTTTGCAGCTGGGCGGGGCCTCAGTTGGGCAGAAAACCTTCCCACCTGAGCAGCGCTCCCAGGAGACAGTCTGACTTCGGAGCCAGCAACTGGCCTGAGAGGCTCCAAGTGTTGGGAGAGGATCAAAAAGTTCCCCTGGCAGTAAATCTTTCACCTGCCATGTGACTCACTGGGGCTTGTGGCCATTCCTCCGAGGTCGGCCCCGGGTCAGGATTTCTCCTGTCTCTTTAGCCCCAAAACCTGGAGATTTTTGTCTTATCTTTGACGCCATCTTGACACCGAAAACAAATTATGGCCCAATTACCCTTACTGAGAGGGGCTGGGGCTACCTTAAATGGCCACAACTCCCAGGCGCTTCCTTAAGAGCGGTAATTAGGGGGGCGTGGGGGCAAGGACTGGGGGCACCCCTGGCATGGGGCTGCCCTTGCTCCTCTGTTTGCCAAGGCAGGAGGGGACATCCCATCCAGCCCCATCCCATCCAGCCCCATCCCATCCTATCCCTGCTGCACCTTCGGGCTCCCTGCCCTGTGGTGTCCGGGCTGGGGGCTGTCCTGCCTCCTGCCTCCCCCAGCCCTGTGTCACCGCCTGAGCCAGCCCAGAGGGGCCCCGTGACGGGAGGCAGCAGCCCTGGCCCTGGCCGTGACCTTCGGGACGACCTCGAGTGAGTCCCCGCCAGGGCTGGGGACCGGCTGTGCCTCTCATTCCAAGCTGGGACATTTCCGTGTTCACCCCGAGGAGCACGGGACAGCAGCATCACAGCTGAGCTGCCGTAACAACCGACCTGAAACTTTTAAAATTTATTTTCCTTCCCGTCTTCCAGTGTCGTTACACCGCCCTCTCCTCTGCTCTGTCCCTGTGCATTTCTTGCCCAGGGTTGTGCTGTCTGCCTGAACCCAACAGCTGTTTTGGGAGCTGGCAAATCCAGCCTGCATCCTGGACAGTGCTCATGGGTGATCGGGTGGCTGGTCTGGGTGTTTCTTTCCCCCCCCCCTTTTTTTTTTGTCAGATTGGTATTTTATTTGGCTCCATCCTGTCTACCGAGCTGTCCAGTGTAACCCTTCCCTTGCTGCTTCTGAGATAAGAATAGGCTCCCCCGAGATCAGATAAACAGGCCCATAAATACCTACAACAACAAGAAGCAGGGTCTGGGCTTGGCAGGAAAGGAGCGGAAAGAAAAAAAAAAAAAAAAAAAAGAACCATTCCTTTGCATGCCAAACCAGGGGTGCAAAGCGAGGGGTGGGAAGTGCCCGACAGCCTCCTTGCCCACATCATTGCCCCCTTGGCCAGACAGGGAGCCAGGGGCCGAGCTGGGCTGGCAGCAGGGTCCCTGCAGTGTCTCCCGTGGCTGGATTCCAGCGGCAGGGAACCTGGCACGTAAGATGCTGCCCCGGGGCCAAGCGATCCCTGCGTGCGTGTTCCTCTGCCCGGGCAACTGCCTGCCCCCGCCTGCGTGCCCCGAGCCAGCTGCTTCCCAACGGCATCAAGTTCACGGCAGGGTCGAGCCGAAGGTATGTGCAGGGCCATCTCCCCTGACCGATCAGCTAGGCACTTCGATAGCCAAAACCTCAAAGCTGGTGGCCAAACCGTTCTTGCAGTGAGTTCTGGTGCCGGCGGCACCGGGAGCTCTGCCGCTGCCTGCCGGGACTCCGCTGCCGGCCGTGGAGGAAGGGAAGCTGTCCCTGTGCAGGGCTCCCATCCCCCCGCAGCTCTTCTCCCTCTGGGGGTGAAGGAGTGACCCCATCCCAGGCTGGAACAGGCGCTGAGCTGGAAGCTCGACTCCCCTTCCCGGCCCCGGAGTGGCGGAACCGAGCTGGGCGCGGAGCTCGCTGCTTGCAAGTGCAGCTCTTCCAAAGCGTTTAGGGGAGCGGAGAAGCCCAAGGCTACAGGAAATGTCTGGTGCCTTTTTTTTACCCTTTCTCCCCCAAACGCTGAGCCACTACATCGAAGGAAAACCCCCTTGCTGGGCAGGGAAATCCTCTGCAGCCGTGGAAACGGAGAGCGCTTTCATTTGCAAAATCCCGAGAAACGGGGGAGGCTGGCACTGGGGGCACCTTCCCCAGAAGTTTGCAGCCAGCAGGTACCACCACCAGATACCTGGGGTAAGAAAAGGAAACGATTCTGTAGGTGCAGGCGGAACATTACCCTGGCTGTGCAGGGTGTCCCTTCCCAGGAGCAAAATTGCAAACACATAAGGCAAAAACCAGCGGAGGTTTTTGGTGGAGTGAAAGGTGCGCAGGCTGTGAGCGATGTACCAGACAGAGCCTGGTGTGCCGGCACCGAGGACGCGATTCCCGTGCAGAGCCACCTTTGTCTCACAGCACAGCAAGTCCCGAGTCCCCATTTAACCCTTTCAACCCGGGTTGGTGCTATACGGATACAGGGATACCGTCTGGCACATTTTTGAGGCGCTGGATTGCCGTTAGTGACAGCTTGGAGCTTGGGAGCTTTCCCATAAGAACCCAGCCTTCAGGAGACTGTGAAACTCATACATAAAATAGGATCTTTGGGGCTGACTTTCTGTACGTTTTCTTTCTTTTTTTTTTTTCTTTTCTTTTTTCTCTTTTTGTTCGGGTTTGGGAGTGCCCTACTCTACTTCACTCATGGATGTAGTATCGTGCTAAACCTCTTATAGCTCAAACAAAAAAAAAGTACCACTGCAGGCAGGCATTGCTCTTCTCTGGCAGTCAATTTTCATCTCAGCCTCGCTCAAAGGGATCAGAAAAGAGATCAGGGGCAGGGAAGGCAGCCGTGTAGCGGCTCCGGAGTGAGGGAAGGCTGATTCACGCAGCTGGATTCTTCGTCGAGAGGTAATTACGCCGGCTATACCCCCAATGTTTGTGTGTCCTTCCTGTATTTGTACACATGCACAAAACGGTTATAAAACCCAAGCTGCTTCCCCACGGGTGAGCTGGGGTATTCTTGGTGTGTGCGGCTGCACAAGCACAGATTGATCGATGTGTCAGTATTTTACAGATGTTGCATCATTATTTCTATACCTTTAGTCGCAATCTTTAAAAGCTTGGTTTAAAACAGAAAATGTAAACTGTGAGCCCTGAGGTTAGCCCTAGAATAATGTACATATTTTCCCGTGCTGTTTTTCTTTGCCCCAGGCAGCCGCCCGAGTGTCAGGGTTTATCCCGGTGTCTCTGGGAGCAGCAGCGTGGCCAGGCTGTGAAGGCAGGATCAGGCTCTGAGCCCATGCACGCACGTCTTGGAACTCTTTGGTAAGAGCACCGTGTGTGCACAGTGTAAAGGAATGAGGATTTGGCTTTAATTATTAAGGATCATTAAGGATTTATGCCTGAGTGGTGACAGAATTTGTGTCTGAGGCTGGTGGCATCCATCGTGTTCGGATGGCGAGGAGGGGACGCTGCTCCTTCGAAATGCGACCGAGGCAGCTCCTAACAGGGGATCCCTGTGAGAAAGTGCTGCCGGTGCCAGAGCCGGGCGTGCTGCCCCGGCAGCACAGGGGAGCCGAGCCCTGGCTCTCTGCGTGGCAGCAATAAAACCTGGGGCTCCACAGCTCTATGGTGCCATCCACACGCTGTAAAGGCCTGATCCTGCCATCCTTCCCCAAGCCAAATACGAGTCCAGTCCCTCTAGCAGGTCTCCTGGGGAGGGAGGAAAGGGATTGTAGGGCAGGGGCAGAGTTCGTGCCCTGGAAGAGGTTGCGAGTTCACGTTTGCAGAGCTCCACCAGCTCCTACGGTGAGCAAGGACGACATAAACAACTCTCAAAGGATCTCGAGCTCCCCAAGGAGGAATTCCCTCACATGGATCGGCCCCACAGCAGAGTAATGATTTCAGGGGTGTCTTTAATCCCGCAGCATCCCTGTGGGCAGCGCAGGGGGCCCGGCCAGAGCAGCGCGATTGCTGGTGCAGGGGAAAGCAGAGGGCTCGGACCCGAGGCCGTTTGCATAAAGTTTAAATTTTATTTTATTAATTTTTTTTTTTAAGCTATTCAGTTTTAAATACGTGGTGTGGCGCGCTCGGTCCCTCGGGAAGTGGTCATGCAGATCTGAGGTAGAAAACCCGGCACAGGAGTGTTCCCAAATGCACCTCTAGGTAGTTTCACCGCAGCCACACGTCGGTCAGGCAGCGGACGGGGAGAGGGGATCGGGGGCTCGTATTTACAATAGCAAACGAATCGAACCGTTCCAGTCCGGCCCGGCGGGGCAGGGGCAGCCGGTCGCTGCTGGCAGCGGGAAGGAGCAACGATTACTGCAAATGCGGGAAGGGGACGGGGGAAAGGGCCCGGCTGGTCCCCGCTGCCGACGAGGCCGGCAGGACCCGAGCCCGCAAAACGCTCTCGCCTCTCTCCCGCGGAGCATCCCCCGGGCGGGGGGCAGCCGGGCCAGCTCCCCGTATCCTGCGCCTGGATGGGCTCCGGGGCCGGGCTGGGCTCTCTCCGACATTGCACATGGAGGGGCGGGCGGGGAGCGCCGTCGGGGCGGCGGGGCAGCTCTCAAGGGTTCAGTTCCAGAGCCCAGACCTGCTGGGGCCAACCCGTCCGGCCCTTCAGCTTCTTCTCGCCGTGACCCAGAGGCTGCGAATAGACCTCGGGCTGCTGCGGGAGAGGAGATGGGGAAAGGAGGGAGAAAGGAGCGGTCAGGAGCGGAGCGGAGTCCCGGGCCGCCCGCTCGCCCCTTGCGCCCGCCGCAGGGCTGCAGCCCCGCTACTCCGAGCGGCTTTGCCAGCCCGAGGACAAAGAGGGGCTCTAGGGGTCCCCACCCCGCCACCCGCCCGCGACAGCACGAGGAAAAGCGGCCGACCTTGGTCCGAATCGCTCCTGTGCCCGCTCGCCCTGGGAGAGCTCCCGGGAGAGGGGAAGGACAGACCGGGAGAGAGGCTCCGGACCTGGGGGCTGATCCCTCTCGGAAAGTGCTCGGAAGCCCACCCGGCCCGTCGGGCGGGCTATTTTTCGACGACTTTCCCTCCACATATTTGTTATTACTACTACTACTACTACCACTACCACTACCACTACTACTACTACTACTACTACTACTACTACTACTACTATTATTATTACTATTATTATTATTATTATTATTATTATTATTATTATTATTATTGGAAAAAAGGCTTCAGCAAGGCCGGCAGAGTTTAGAGGATTTTTTTCCCCCCCAGCCCCGGGGTTTTTCTCGCCCGCTCCCGGCCCACGGAGAGCAGAGACGCGGGTCCCGATCCACCTCTTACCGTCTCCCTTTTCCTCTTGTTCTCCCTGCCGTCCGCCTTCTTGAGTTCGGCTTTGAAGCCCTCGGTGTCCCCGGGCTGGCTGTCCTTGGCCAGCACCTCCATCAGGTAGGCGATGTAGCTGGTGGCCAGGCGCAAGGTCTTGATCTTGGAGAGCTTGGTGTCGGCGGGCACGTTGGGGATGCACTCGCGGAGCTCGGCGAAGGCGCTGTTGATGCTCTCCGTCCTCCGCCGCTCCTTCTTGGGTCCCCCGACACCTTTTCGCCGTCCCAGGCGGCCGCTGAGAGCCTCCAGCCGCCCCTGGCCGGCCGGGCCGTACTCGGCGGGGCCGTAATTCGGGCTCTGCCCGGCGAGCTCGGGGGTCGCCTCGGCCGGGTTGAGCACCCAGCCGGGGAAGTAGGCGCGCTCCTGGTGGCACCGCGCCGCCGGCCCGAAGAGGAAAGGGTCGTGCAGCATGTGGTGGTGATGGTGGTGGTGGTGGTGATGCTGGTAGCCCCCCACCAGGTTCATGATCCGCTCGGCTGGCCCCGGGGGCCGCTCAGCAGCGCTCCATGGCCGGGCGGGCGGCGCTCCCCGCCGGGCGGGCGCGGCGGGCTGCGGGGAGCGCGGCTCCGGTGGCGGAGGCTGCTGTGGGGTTTGGGGTGGGGCGGTCGGGGTTTGGGGTTTTGGGTTTGTTGTTTGGGGTGTTTTTTAACCCCTTCTGGAGCCTCTCGACCCTGCCTTTATATAGGGCCGCGGCCCCCCCGCCGTGGAGCCAATGGGCAGGGGAGGATGCGCGGAGGCCCCGGGGGGAGCGGGGCGGCGGAGGGGGCGTGCGCCGCGCTCCGGGATCGGGGTTTGGGCTCACACCTCCGCCGCTTGCCCTCGGTCCCGCCCGCTCCTCGCTCTCAGGGAGGAGGGAGTGAGGAAGAACCGAGGGGCACCGCAGCCCCGTCCCGGAGCGCTTCGATTCCCGCTGCCGGGGCGGGGGTGTCCGAGCCCCCCGAGAGCCGCCGGGCCGGCCGGGGGAGGAGAGCCGGCAGCGGGGCGGGGGAGCCGCGGCTCTGCGGACCCCCGACGGCCGGGCCGGGCCGGGCCGTGTGACCCGCGGACTCTCTGCTTCCCAAGCGCCGAGTCCCCACGCAGGACAGGCTCGGGTCCGAGGGAGCGGAGCGCGGCGGGGCTGTGCGGGCAGTGCGGGGTGCTCGGGGTCGCGCTCGGAGCCCGGGGATGGGGGGAAAAGGGGGCGAAGGTATCGGAGTGAGGCGGGCTGGGCACCCTGCGGTTGGGGTGACAGGGATGGCGTGTGGGCTCCCTCCCTGCCCATGGGGCTCCTGGCCCTGCACAGCAGCGTCGCACAGCTGCTCAGGGATGTGCACTGCATGCCTATGCTTTACAATGCACGCTGCACAAGTCCACACTGCACTCGTGTTGGTTACACCATGCCCTGCTGCTCACACCAATGCATTCGTTGCACACATTGCCCGCATGCACCACACAACGCCGTGCTGTACACACTCCACAAACGTGTCACACACGTGCTCCCATATATGTTTCATACGCCAGCAGCACGGATGTGCCACAGGCACAATGTCATTATAAGTACATGACACGCACAAGCATGGCACATGCACACCTATCACACACATGGCTTATAGGCACACATGTGTGCGCGGCTGACCCGTGCACAGACACTGCATAGATACATAAATATGTAAAAATGATACTGTCCATGCACACGAACATTTATTGTATTTATATTGTATTTATTTTTTATTGTATGTACAATAGGGAGGCTGGGACCTGCCCTGCATTTCCCTGTCCCAGCCTGGCCACGAAAGGGCTGCGAGGACCCCGCTGGGGTTGGGATCTTGTACCTTGCCATAGCCCCAAACTCAAGCCCAGGGTGGGGCCCTGAAGCACATCTCACCCATGGGAGACAGATCCCCGGAAGGATGCCTCCCAGAGCCCTGCTGGGTGACACTGGGGCTGGCCCCTGCTCTTGCTGCAGTGACTTCCAGCGAGGACAGGCTGGGCACGGCAGTACACAGTGATCACAGCACGGCGGGGCAGGAAGGGGCTTTGGGCCCGAGGTATGTTAGCGATTAACGGCGCTTTCCAGCGATTCATCTTGCAGCGGAGGGTGGAAACGTTGGAGGGTTGTTTGCAGGCGCTTGTATTAATCATCCGGGCTAACACACCATTAACGTCCTCCTGCATTTTAAAGATGACAAATTTTATTTGACTTCTCTCAATCACGGTTCCCGGGCGGATTCGGGAGCCACTTAAATGCCTCGGATTTTCCATCGTTAGTTGTTACAAGGCGAGTCGCAAAGGCAGGAGGCTGGGGGGGCCGGGGCAGGTCTCCGGTTCTGCCGGGCCCCGGCGGCTGGGGGGGAGCGGCCGTGCCGGATCTGCCCAGCTTTGTTCCCCCCTGCTTTGTTCTCAGCTGCTGCAAAGACCCCGCTCCCCCACCCCCTTTAAACATAAGCGCCCTGCAAACATTTGCTAGTGATTACTCTCCTGTTAGAGCCAGGCCCTGGGTAGGGTAGGGCGTCGTGTCCCCGATTTCCTTCAAAACAGCCGTGGTTGGGTGGGATCCCCGAGCCCAGCTCGGAGCTGATGGGAGCCAGTGCCCACCTGGGAGAAGTTCAGGGGTCCCACTTCATGTTTCACCCCCTCATGCTGGCAGAGCATCACCTGTGGAGCCCTGCTCCTCTCACAATCCATCCAGGCTCTTTGCTGAACTTCTCCCCAGTCCTGCAAACTGCCAGGTTAGAGTCTGTGCCACCCAACCCCAGCTCTAGAAATACCTCCCAAAAATACCCCTTTCTTCCTCATAGCCCTGCACTGCACAGGCCACTTACAGCCACATCCAGATGGGAGCTGTCGCCTTGAGCCTGCACCAGAGTCACCTCCAGCTGCCAAGCCAGGTAAGTCCAGCCCAAGCCTGGGCATTATCTTGCTTAATCCACCCCCGATGGAGGTCCCTGGACCCCGCAGAGTTTGGAAGTGCTCAGCTGAGCAAATAGTGGGACCAGAGGGTTGATTTTCTTTTGGAAAATCATTCTAATCTTTCGTGTTTTAATAAAATAATAAAACCAGAGCCCTTTTCATGCCGACACCTTCTAAATCAAACCAGACTGCCTTTGTCATGGCGTCCAAATTTAGCACTTCTCAAACTTTTGGTGAGTTTCTTTAATTTCACATCTCCCCACTTGCATGGGGGAGAAAATGCCGAGCAGTTTGGATTAGGCAATTTATGGCTGGCATGGCAGGAGGAACCACGTTTCTCTCCACCTGTTTTCCTTCAAATCCTTCCCATAGAAAGATTTCCTTCCCTCATGGCCAGGTGATGGTGAGGGGGCCAGTGCTGCATGTTGGGAATGAGGTTATCTCAGGTCTCTGTGAGCCCCAGCACCCCAAACCTTGCAGGAGCCACCAAGTTCTGCATCCATCCCCGTTTCTGGCCGGGGGTTGAGGTTTTGGCCCTGGCCCCTCAGCCACCTCCTTATCAGCGCCCAGCGCCGCAGCCCCGGGTGTCCTGTGACTTTGACGCCAGCTCTGCTCCCCCTCTCCGGCTCCCTTATCTAAATAGGAGCGTAAATCAGGGCCTTGGCAGATGCCCTGGCAGGACAGGGACTCCATAAAAAGGGGCTCTGCTCCAGCTCTGTTTACATTGCAGCCCCGTAAAATATTCCCCTTGTCTTCCTTGTTAGCATCTCCCTGCAGCATCCCGGCACCTTGCTGCACCCACATCCCCCCCACCCCAAAGTCCACTGAAGCCCCAGGGTGCAGCCAGGAAGGTCCCAGCCCTGTCACCCCACAGCCTCACACCGTGTCTCCATCAGGTTATGGCCAGGGTGCCTCCTCACTCAGCCACTGCCTTCAATCCCCTCCTCAGCCACTGCAGGCACAGAGCAGAGCTGAGCCAGCTCCCCTGGGCAGCTGGGTTGTGTCTAAAGGTGCCCCTGGGTATTTATAGCACTTGCCTGAAATAATGCAATAATAATCACTCAGCACCTTCCTAACAGTTCTGCTCTCAGAGGCCTCGGGGGATGGTGGCAAAAACCCTTGGGAAACTGAGGCATGAGCAGAGTCTGCTTCAAGGAGAGCTGCAGAGGGCTGCTCTGGGGGATTATTTTCCTCCTGGCAATGTGAGGAGAGAGAGAACCTGCAGAAGTGAATGGAATCGAGTCAGTTTGATCAGCAATGAACTCAGCCCTGGGGTCACAGCCAAGCCTGGGCTGCAAAAGCCCACTCAGGGCATCCCTCCTCCCCAGCAGGGTTTGCCACATGTGTCCTGCTGTGCCAGGATGGGTTTCATAGGGATGAAATGAGAAGTGCTGGGATGCAGCAGAGCTCACACTTGCTGGTGCCTGTGCTCTCCTGTACCCCCACACTGCCTGAGTCCCCCAGACTGCATCACTGGACTGCTTGATCCTGCAAGGAGCAACTCCCGGTGGGGTTCAGTCTGTCAAAGCCCCATGGAAGGAGCAGGAGGGATTGGGGGTGAACACAGGGCTGTGCCTGGATGTTCCTGTTCACAGCAGCAACCCACAGCGTCTTCTCTGTGCACACCCCTCCCGTGCCGCCCCTACGGCGACACACAGGATGACTGCAGCCATTGCCCCTCAAGAAATACCATCTATTTATGGCCAAACAGCCACTGTCTTGAGTGGATAAATCAAAAGGAAAACAAAGCTTTACGGAAAAAAGTATTAAATTTTCCATGTGCTCCTGAAGGGATGGGCCAGGCACTCGCTGTTTATTTTTTGGGCTCTCTCTTTGCTAGTACTGTAAGTGACATTGTGTTTACAAAAGTTTTTATGTCATCAGAGTAAAGTCACAGCTCAGCTTCCTCTCCTGTGTATTTTATGTAGATGGATGTGTCTGTGAGGAACATTCAAACTAAACAGAGAGCTGGTTTATAGGAAAATGTATTTATTTGAAAAATCGTAACTCACAATTTCGGCAAAACCGGGCTCCACATTTATTGCTGCTAATGGGGTGTGGCAGCCATAAATTAACCTGGAAAATTGCTGTGGCCATTTCAACAATGGCTCATTGTGCTGATGGAGCAGCAGCTCCCCAAAGACGGCTCATGTCAATTTGCAATTAGGTTTGGATGCAAACAATAGGTAAGGGAAGGTAACAGCAGCCTTGCCACTGGAACCAGCCCCATTGCTCTAGGCTGGCACGGGTGCCCTAAGTCTCACTTAAAACAGAGCTGTTCCCTCATCTGGGTGCTGTGGAAATCAGTGGAAGGAGGCTCCACCTACCATAAGGGGAATTTTTATTTATATTACATTACCTGTCATAGACATGTAATTGGAGATGACTAAAAAACCCAGTTCATGAGCTCTGACTGGCAGCCCAGGTGAGCCACGTGCATGGAGAGTGGGTTCAGTTGCTCCCTGGTTGCCCTCTCTCATTGAAAGAAGTTTTGCACTGAATCAGGAGTGATGGTCCTACCCTAAAACCTTTTCTTTTCCCCACCCAGATTCCTTGCTGAGACACACACTGATCCCCAAAA